TTTTTTCTTATAAAAAATAATAAATTTATAATATAATTATTCATTTAATTCTTTCAATTTGTGTTGTTTAAAGTACTTCTTTTTAGTTTAACCAAAGAATTAATAAAGAAATAAAATAAAAAGAAAGTTAAACCATTCTAACAAATTTTGGTACTAATGAAAATTTGAAGAAATTAGATGAGTATTGTTGTAATGAAGTCATACGTAATCGTGCAGGTTTATTAAACACTAAATTGTTATTTTATTATTTGTTATTAATATCAAAATAATATAACAAACAAAGTAGTTCTACAATATCTTGAATAAATACTTCGTTTAATGAAAAATAATTTGTTTGATCAAGATCATCTACATCTATAATATCTAATTTTTCATAAGAAGAATTTAAATGTGAAGAACGTTTTACTTTTAATATAAATTCTAATAAATGAATTGAAGAAAGAGAAGAAGTTAAAGAATATATTGTTGTTCTTTTACAAAGAGTAAATAATGAAGTCCAATCTTTCTTATAAAGAGAATAATTTATTGTTGGAATATCCATTGGGTTAATAATAATTAAATTATCAATATGAATAGAATCATTAATTAATGTACTCCATAATGAATATGATTTAAAGAGGAATAATAATGTATCAGATGTTGCAATAAAATTAATATGTTGGGTTTGAGTAGAAAGAATTGACTGAAGTAAATTAGAAAATGCAATATGAAGATATGGATCATTATAATCAGGAGTTTCATTATTTTGGGAGAGATGACAAATTATTGGAAAAACAGTTTCTGGGAATTTAGCTAAAGCTAAGAATTGTGCAAATTCTTTTTGACGTTGTTCTTTATGAATTGAACCAGTAAGATAAATAATAGCAAGCTTTGATTCTTCTTCAAGACCACTTATTTTAATTGCTTTCATTTTTGAATCATTTCTTTTACTTATTCTTAAAGTTACTTCATTTAATTCTTTTGATGAAGAAGAAACATTAATCATATTTGTATTTTCATTTAATTGTACATTTAATGAGTCTATTGTTGATGTTTCTTTAACACTATGAATATCACCAATAATATCTCTACAACAACTACAGTCTCCTATGCATTGACATTTTCTACTGTAAATTTGAGTTACTTTTGGTAAATTCTAAAGATGAATTTTATTTCAATAATAATTAATGAAAAACAAACATAAAGAATTGTTCCTGAATAACAACATTCAACAGATATTAATGAATAATAAAATGAAAGAATTCCTTGATAGAATTTAGAATTATATGCCATTAAAGTTACTGAATGAATTAATGACCGTTGTCCTATAAGTATTGATTCAAATGGACCTACAAGCATCTTATTTCTCCATTCTCCTGTTAAAGATTCACCTAACATTTGATTATCAACCCAAACAATAGTTCCTTCCAATGAATTATTATTTAATTTACCTTCAAGTGTATATTTTTTCTTTCTTCTAGTAATAAAGTTAATAGTTTCAAGAATATATCTTCTAAATCCTTTTGATGATTCTTCTACTGAAACAATTGTTGGTCTTAGAAAAATAAATAATGGAATATGTTTTAGTATTGTCGAAAAGAATATTGAAAATAATAGTGTAAATAATACAACAATAACTAATATTAATATTGAAAGAACAGTTAATGAAAATGAATTGTATGCTTCAAATAAAAAGAAGAATATCGTAAACCAATATAATTCAAACATTAAAACTACAATAAAAGGTTTTAAAATATGTAAAGAAAGTGTAATAGAAATAGTCATTACAATCATTATTAATATTTCATTTAAATGTTGAATTAGAAATAAACCAAAAGAATTTGTTGTTTCATCTATTGATGATTGCTGATCATTTTCTATTGTATTAATAAAGTATTTAATAATTAACCCAAGTAAATATCCTCCTAATGAAAAAATAAATAAAAATGATATTTTTCTACTTGTTGTTGAAAAAGGGTCTCTACCTAAGAATTTTCTTTCATACCTTCTTTGTGTCATAGCTTTGAATATCTCTTTAACTGATTCTATTTCATTTTGAGTAATACTTTCTATATCAATGATATCAACAGAAGAGTCATCATCATCTAATGTTGTAGAAGATGATAATGTTAAATTAGAATTCATTATGTCTTTTTTAAAGATCTTCAATAGATTTAATTTATTCTTTTAAATCATTATTATTCTTTTTTTGTTATTTTCATAAATAACATAAAACTGATTTGAGTAGTTTTATTTCTTCTATCATATTTTATAATATTTTATTTTTGGTATTGAAGATTTATTACTCAACTCTTTATAAAATTTTTATAACAATATTGATTTATATACTTCTATTAAATATATATTAGTCATTGTTATGTTTTGTGTCTTGACATACTATAGTACTAATATACCTTAATTGTTCTAACTAAAATGAAAAATTAATAAATATTTTTTTTCCTTATTTTCAGTAAACTACTTCTGACAATTAATTCATGTTTAGTTGAGAAAAGTATTTTATGGCTGAAACTGTTAATTTATTTTATTTCTGAACCATTCCAAAAACAAATTTTTAATAATGCTAAAAGTTAGTTCAATTTTTAATATAAAAATTATTATTCATAAATTTACAATCATCATCATTTGGAGGTTATAATTTCAATTTTTTTAAGTAATTTATAAAGACAATCATACTTTAATCACTTAACTAATACTACAATTTTATTTTTAAAAAAAAAATATTGAAAAATTAATATTCAAAATATTTCATGTATCACAAAGAAAGGAAATATTGTTATAATTAGATAACATCCAATCACTGTAAATTACTCTATTTGATTTATTATGAACTAAAAGATGAATAATGAGAGAAACTTACATAAGATAAAATTCTTTTAAATTTTTGGTCAAAGTGTATTTATTTACTAATAATTTAATAGTGAAAATAGAAATAATATAAACCATATTGTTTATAATGATATTTGATGTATTTTATTATTTGTGTAAATAAATACATTTTTTATTTCTTATTTATATCCTTTCTATTAAAATTTACTTTCTTTAATTGAACAATTATAATGTTTTAATCAATTTATATTAACCTTTTTAAATAGACGATACTTTTCTTCAATGGTTTCAAGAATTATAATAAAATATTAATAAATATGAGTTTTTTAAATAGTTTTATGGTTAGTTGTTAATCAACAAATGATAAAAACAAATTCATTACCATTTTATGAAAGACTTCATAAGATTTTACTGTAGTATTAATGAAGAATAACAAATCCTCTCAATACGAATTTATTTCCTTTCAAATAGTTAATCCTCATATTAAAAAATAGAATGAAAAAAATAGAAAATTAAAAAAAAGAGAAAAAACTAAAAAGAAAATCAATACTTTTTTAAACACAAGACTATGGCATATTATGATGAATCAGAAGAATTATCTCAAAGAGAAATTGAAGAATTAATAGAAGATGTCTTTGGATTTCTACCTGAAGAAATCTCAAATACATTGACTGAAGAACAAGTTGAAGTTGCACTAGAAAAGAATGGTTATGACGTTAAACGTACTATTGCCTCATTTAAAAAGAAAACAACAAAAACAAAGATTATGGATAAACAACCACCAAAAATGAAAACACCAATCCCAATTACTAAGTCTCCTCTTCCAAAAAATAAACCAACTACTCATAAGACTCCAAGTCCACTTCCATCTCCATCTCCACATTCAATGCCAACAGTCCAACATTCTCAAAAAAGACATTCCGAAATCATCAACAAAGTAAAAGAAATGCACAAAACAAATCAAACACCATTAACTGTTATTTTTTGTGGTCATGTAGACTCAGGTAAGTCAACAACAGTTGGTCATATTTTACAAGAACTTGGAGGTGTTACTCATTCACAAATTGAAAAAAACAAAAAAGAATGTGGAGAAAAAGGAAAGAAGTCATTTGAATATGCATGGGTTATGGATACTGATGATGAAGAAAGAAATAGAGGAATTACTATATCTGTTGGAGCTGTTGAATTCCAATATAATCATAAAAATATTAGAATATTAGATGCACCTGGACATACAGATTTTCTTATGAAAACTATTGATGCAATGAATGAAGCTGATGTAGCTGTTGTTGTTGTAGATGTTGATAAACATAATTTAAAATGTACGTATGAAGGAACATTTTTAGATATTGTTTCAACATTAGCATATTCAACTGTATCAAAAATTATTGTTGCTATTAACAAAATGGATTCGGTGAAATGGAGTGAATCAAAATATAAAAGTGTTGTTAGTGTTGCTGAAGAATTATTAAAAGAATATAATCTTGATAATATAAATATACGATATATTCCTATTAGTGGACTTTCAGGTGAGAATTTAATAAAACCAACAACTTCCTGTAAGTGGTGCCAAGAAAGTTTACTTTCAGTAATTTCTGAAGAAAATGCACAATTTCATGACATTGAAAAACCATTAAGATTTATTTGTAATGATTCTTATAAACAAGGCAATGGAAGTGTTATTACTGGAATCATTTCTTCTGGTGTTATTGGAGAGAAAGATGATGTTATTATTTACCCAACCCAAACTCATGGTGTAATAAAAAAAATCAAAAAAGGAAATCAAATTATTGATTGTGCTGGTGCAGGAGATATTGTTGAAATACAAGTTGATGGAACTAATCTTAACATAATGAAAGGATATGTCATTGGATCACCAGCTGAACCACCAATATATTATAAAAAGTTTCATGCAACTGTTGATTTGAATTGTAGAGATTTGATTATTAGAAGAGGAACTTTAATGTCATTTTATTGTTCAACTGGTTCTTCACCCTGTGTTTTTGCACGAATCTTCTTCTCAGGAATACAAGATGTTAAAGTTAGACCAAAAAAATTAAAAGACGTAATTCAAGCTAATGTAGAGATCATTCTTCAAAAACCATTATGTGTTGATACCCGCGTGAATAATGATGCATTTAGTCATTTCTTCTTAAGATGTAATAAAATAACTATTGGTAAAGGAGTTATTACAGAATTACGAGGTTAAAATATAATAAATGAATTTTTGAAGTATTATTATTTTATTTAAATCGTATAAACAAAAAAAAATAATATTTATATATTAAAATTAAAAGAAATTGAAGCGCAAAGAATTGTGTACTTTTAAATTAACTTAATTTTATTCAATGTATAATTTTTGACCTTGTGCCCATTTTTTTAAAAGTGTTATTCTCTTTGGTAAATTAAACTTCTTTTCAAAAATTTTCACTGCTTTTTTTGGAACTTTATTCATGAAATTAATGAATCGTTGAGCTAATACTTTTTTTACCTTTAATGTTTGTTTTAATTGTTTTCTATAAAATGCGAGTTCATGTTTAATTTGGAATTGTTCATATTTAGTTAAATGCATTTGATGTAAATTTCTATCATATTCTATATCTCCTCTAATAACTGCTTCTGTTGTTTCAATATCACGAATGTCAGCTTCGAGGTTTGATAAAACGTTTAATACATTGTCTGTTCCCATGTTTTCAATTTTTTGTGATTGAGATAAAACACATACAACTAATAAAAGAATGAAAAGACTTTTCATATCAATGAAATATAATATATTTTTTTGTTGTTGATTTTTAAGTTATTTTTATTTTTTTGTGTTAAACAAGATCTTAAAAAAAAAATCATTTTAATAAATTAATTAATATTTTAATAAAAAAATGTAATAAAACAAAATATATGAAAAATGTTATTGAGATTGAATAACAGAGTCTAACCATTTGTTAATATCAATCAACATTTCTTGTTGATTATCTTCTTCTAAAAGAACATGGTTTGCTCCAGGATATTCAACATATTTTGAAAGTGGATTTTTAAGATGTTTTGCTTTATTTCTTGCTCCTTCTACTTTAATTAATGTATCTCCAGATCCATGCATTAAATAAAATGGGACTGTTAAATCACGATCTTTTTCAATATCACCATATCGTGCCATTTCTAATCCTGTTTTACCTGATGCTTTAGCTGTTAAAGTGTAAGGATCATTATCATATTCTCGTGCAACTTCTTTATTTGTAAAAATTTCATCAGCTGGATTAGTTGGAATCATTAAAGAAGGGAAGAAGAATATGATTAATATAAACAAATAATATAAGTAATAAACTATGTTGTTATTAATAACATAGGCAGGTGCTGATGCAACATATGCAGTAATATCATTTCTTCTACTTGCTAAAATTGATGTAAGTAAACCACCCATAGAATGTCCCATAAAAAATAGAGGGAGTGAAATTCCTCTTTCTGTTATATCATCTTTAACAAATTCAATATATTCATTAAGAGTATTAATATAAGTTTCCATCGAATTAATAAATGTTTTTGGTTTATTAGGAATACCAGATGATCTTCCATGACCTGGAAGGTCAAGCATAAAAACATTAAACCCAGAATTAACAAAAAATTCTCCAACTTTTGTATATCTACCAGAATATTCTCCATATCCATGAAGAATAATAATTGTTGCCTTTGCTTCTTTAAGTCTCCATTCTCTAGAATAAATATTAAATCCATTTAATTGATGAAATGTTTCTTTATATTCAAATGTCATTGTAAATTCAAAGATTGAAACAAGATCTAAGAATTTTTATGGTATTTTAGAAGTAATGAGAAGACAAAAGGAAATTTTGTTTTATTTTATTTTAATAACAATAACAAAAATAAAAATATTTTGTTATTCAAAAGAACACTAAATAAAAAGAAAGATGTATAAATCAACGGTAGAAAAAGATAAAAGATTGAAAAAAAGAAGAAAAAGAAGGTGTGGAACTTCAAAGAATATAGAAATATTCTAATAATTTAAAGAAAAAGTTGAAATAATTTATTTTAGTGGTACTTATTTTAAAAACTTATTTAATCAGTTATTTCAAGAAGATGAGTGAGAAGGTTTCACAAAGAATTGAAGCAAGAGATAGGTCAGCAGCAGCTGATCTTATAAAAATGAGTGAAGAAGTTCGTCAAGATTTTTCATTAAGTGATACTGAAGATGTTGTTCAATGTTATAAAGTGATAAACAAAAGTAATAATAATAGTATTAAAGGAAAATTATTTATTACACAAAACTACTTTTGTTTTAGGTCTCAATATGGAAAGAAATTATATGTTAAAATACAAATTTCTAGTATAAAAGAAATGACAAATGAAATTAAGATTTATGATATTGAAGGAAGAATGTATTATTTTGTTCCTCAATCACAAGAAGAAGAGTGTTTCAATTTAATGTATTACATGTATAAATATCCTTTCTCTGTTCTAGATTTAAATATTTATAAACAACATACAGTTGATGATCATGAAAGTAATAATCAAAGAAAATTTGATATAGAAACAGCACAAGAGGCATTAGTAACAGCAGAAGAAATGAAAAAAATTAAAGAAGAAAATTATAAATTACTTGAACAACAACAAAGAAAAATTGAAATGATTGATCAATTATTAGATAAAACTGATAAATATTTAGGAGAAATTGATGATAGTATTAAAGCAACCAAATCACTTATTTATGAATTAAAATTAAGATATACGAAAACAAAACAAGTACCACCTCCAAAAGAAGAAGCTGCTGTACTTATTGAAGAAATTAAAGAAACTCCACCAGTTCCAGTTGAAATTCAAATTTTATGGAAATTAGAAAATGATGATTTAGTACCAGCAACAATGAAAATATTTGATGATCATATTGATATTGTTGAAACTACAGCAAATAAAAAGAAGACATTATCACGTTCATTTTCAATTCAAGAGATTCTTGGATTATATATGAGAGCAAGACCATTACATTTACAAATTGCTTTAAATCAAAGTGGAAAAGAAAAAGGAAGAATTAGACTTTGTTCAACATGTCTTCAATTTATTGTAAATGAAATATATATTAGATATTTAAAAATATTTAATAAACAGTTAAGTGTTACTTTTGAACCAAATTCACAAGTATTTGATTATGGAGATTTAATGATTACAAAAACATTTATGAATTGTTCTGGTATTAAAGGACAAATTAAATTTACTGAAGGAGAAGATATGGCATTAAGAGTATTAACTGGAAAAGATCGTGAAGATTATTTAGCAATGAAGAAGACAAACCAAAAAACAGTTGAAATTCTTGATTCAGTTGCTAAATTAAATGTTAAAACTACAAAGATGGCTGATGATTCTATGAATTCTGTAATGGACGTTACTACTAGAATGAATGAACAAAGACAATTGATTATGGAACGTAAAAAACAATGTGATGACATCATAAAGAAATAATTCATTTATAACTTTTTTTAATTATTTCCAAATTTTAATTATTCCATCTCGTGAAGCACTACATAAATAATATGATTGAGCTGAAGGTAACATTGAAAGAGCAGTAATTGCATCTAAATGATGATCATTATCACTTATTCCAATTCCTCTTTTCTCTCTATCAACTGGGAAACATTTAATACAAGTAATATTATTTTCATTTAATATTTCAAATGTTGGTGGTTTTTTAAAATCACCAATAGCATATGACAGACTATTTTGACTATCCTCAACATCCCAAAATCTTAAAATATGATCACTTCCACCTGAAATAATAAATCGGTCAAATGCTATTAACGATGTATTTATTAAATATGGTAAATAAATATTATTCTTACTTTGTGCAATACATTTTTGAAGATTTTGTAATAGATTATCTAGTTGTTGTACTCCATAGTCATCTGGTCCCATACTAAATGATGGTTTAAATCTACTTCTTTCAACTTTTTCAATTACACTACTTAATTCAGGTATTTCTGTTCCAAAATCTTCAAAATGAAGTAATGACTTCAAATTTTGATTCTTAATATCCCAACAAAAAACATCACCATCTCGTGTATTAGTTGCTATATTTTCTTCTTTAATAAATACAATTTCTGTTATAGCAGAATGAGTTGGTACTCTCCATCCAATATTTGCAATTGTATGTCTTAAATCCCAACAAACAAGATAGCCTCTATTAGTACCTACAATACAATATTCTCCACTTGGTGCAACAGCCATTGCAGAAACATACCCTAAACGTGCATCATTTTCTTTTCTAATTCCTACTGTTTTATCTCTAATATCCCATACTGCTAATGTACCATTTTCACAAACAATGGTAACTGCTTTAGCATCTGCATTCTTTTGAATAGATATAATTTTTGATCCAAGAGATATACTTTTTATTAAATTCATTGACATCACAGTTGATTTTTTTCCTTGAACACAAACTCTATGTAATTCAATAGTACCATCTCTATATCCAATTACAATACCATTACTTTTTGCAATAGTTCCAATTGAACTTACACCACTTGGACCTTTATAAGTAACTTTAGATCTCATAACTTCAAGTGATTCTACTCCAAGAATATCCCATACTTTAATAATACCAGTAGAATCTCCTGTTACAAAGAAAATTCCATTTGACCCAACACTAATTGAAGTAATTGGTGCACGATGTTCTGTGAGATGAGCAACACAAATCCCTTGAATGATTTCATGTTTTGGTGATGGAATTTCAGAATCAACAAATCCAAGATCAGGAATACTACGTAAACGTGGTGGAGCTGAACCTTTAATAACTGTGAGATAACGAGAACTATCACGTGGACATGGAGTATTTGGGTTTTGCATTGGAATATAAGTATGGTTTGGATCATCTGGATTTACTCCCCATAATGGTAATTGTTGATGAACTTTTAATTCATCAGTTAAACGATTAATTGAAGTTTGGTGTTGTAAACTCAATCGAGGTATATGCTCTTTTACTGCTATTAAATAAGGAATTAATTTACTTAAACATTTATCAGGATTAGTTACTCCTGTATTTTCTAATTTAGTTACTATATCTTCAATGTGCATTGTTGATGAAAAATCATTTCGATCAAATGATCTTAATGCATTTCTTGGAATTGAACTTAAAAGTGATGCATTAATATGAGAAGCTGTAATATTAAATAATTTAATTCTTAACATACTATTGACATGAGGTAATAAGAAACAATGACGTTGGGCATCACTCAACTTTGAAGCAATAACTTCAAGCAATAATGCTGTTGTTTGACGTAATGTAATATTAGGATGAACTAATAAAGGACAAACAGAAGGAATAATACTATAAATATAACTTCTTGAAATAATATCGAGTGAAATACAACTAGTAATGGAAAGGAGAGTCTGATAAACTAAATATTCATGAGTACTATAAAGGTATTGTTGTAATAATGGATAGAAATGTAATTCAAACACTTTAGTTCCATATACTTTACCAACTAATGGAATTTGTTCTAAGAAATAAACAATTAATATTGGGTCTGATTGTTGGAATTGAGTAATATATTGGAGTAATTCATTATAACTTTTCTGATACCCACAGAACAAAGTTAAAGCAGAATATGATTTAATTAAATTTCTTGTTATGTGGAAATTCTTTTTTAAAAGCATTTGTTTATATGATTCCAAAAAGAACTTACATAAGACTTCATGTTCAGAAGCTTTCATTGAACCATCTTCTTCTTTTAATGATAATTTTTTTGATAATTCTAAAAGTTGTGAAAAATATGAAGCGTAAGTAATTGTGAATGACATATTTTGTTGATTAACAATAGTTTGTTCAATAGCTGGACAAATATAATTTGGGAATAATAAATGTGCTGATGGAGGAAGTGTTTTCATATATTTTAAAGCTAAAATTAATGACTTTAAACTATGAGATTTAATTGGATTACTTGAAGTACCAATAATTAAATCTACTAGTCCAGGGGTAATGATCATATATAATGCTTCATCATCAGAATAATGAATTAAAATATCAACAATTGAAAGTATTTTTTCTAAAATATTTTCACGTGTTCTTCTAATACTAAATAATATATAAAGAATAATGCTAGTACTTATAAATGGTTCTTCTTGTTTATTAAAATATTTCTTAGTTTCTTCAACTTCATTTACAACATTTTCTTTTTCATCAGAAACTGTTATTTGTTCTGTTAATTTTCTCATTGAATTTAAAGCATCAGACCTTGCTTTTAAATCACTCCATTGTCCACTTAATAATACTTCAAGATGTTTATGTAATTCTTCTGTTTGATTAGTTAATTTATCTAATTCAACAGCAAGTTGAGAAGAATGAGATAAAGTAGCTTCATCAGGAATACTTTGAATTTCTTTTTCAATTATTTTTCTTGGAACATTTGGTTTTTCTATCTTTAATTGTTCACGAATGAAAGAAATAATATCTGGAAGAACAAATTCTGCTGAATTTTGTTGTGAAAGATATGATAATTGAAGTAATGAAGAAAAATAAGATGGGACATTCTTTTCACATATTTCAAAACATTGTTGAGCTGTAGGACGTTTTTCAGGAGTAGCATCAACCATTAAAAGAATTAATTCACGAATAAAATCAACTTGAATAGCAGAAAGAGTATTAGTTATTGAAAATTTACCATTTTTATAATCAAGAATATTACTCACATCAAACAATGAATTTTCAAGGAATAAATAAGCTAATACACATCCTAATGAAAATATATCAGCAGATGGTGTAGTTTCAGTAAACATTTTATCAACTTTAAGATTTGGTTGAAAACGTTCAGGAGCAATACATGTAGAACGATTAAAAAAGAAATTTAAATCATAAGGATTATCATCAGGAATATAAAATGGTTTATAAGGTGCAAAATCAGAAAGATATGGAGTATTTGAAGATGTAAGTAAAATATTTTCAGGTTTAATATCACCATGAACAATATGTAAGGAATGTAATGAATTAACTGCATTTATAAGTTGATAAGCAATAAATACTTTTTCTTGTAATGTAAAAAATGGTGCTGTACGTACACGATCAGCTAAATTATATGGAAGATATTGACGTTGGTAAATAATAATACTTCCATTTTTACCAGCTTTTTTTGTTACAAAACCAAGTAATCCAGTGATATTTACAATTGATTTATTAACAGTATGTAATCGTTGAAGAAGTTCATTTATTTTATCTCCATCTGATGGTTGAACCGAATACAATTTTGTAACTAACACCCTTCGTGAACGAGTGTCTCTTGCACGAACTGAATGAGTAAGTAAATCATTTCCAATATTTTCTACTTCGTCAAGACCACAAGTATCAGTAAGGTCTAATGAATTAAGTACATCAGATGATGTGGATAGTGTATTTCCCATAATGTTTTAAGATGATTTTTTATAGTTTCATTTTTCTATTTTATAGTTTTATTCAAAGTTCTGTCATAATAAGCAGTTCTTTTTTAATAAAACTAAAAAAAAAAGAAGAAAAAAGAAACTGAAAATGAACAGTAAAAATTTAAAGAATGGCATCAGTACAAAGAGAAAAACAAACGCCTCAATATCAACGACAATTAATGCAACAAACATATGAAGATTCAAAAATGAAAGGAACATTACCACAAAGTATTGAGGAGTATGGGCTTTCAGGAGTAGAAATATTATTAAGTGATAATAATGAACAAACACTTGACTCATTATTAATGAAAGGTATTGATTTAAATTCACTTGGAATTGATCTTTCTACTCCTAAACATATATGTGGATCATTTAATACACCATTTCCATCATTAAAGAATAGTATTCCAAATTATTATCATATTGAATCTAAAGAAATTAATGATCCAGGAGAAAGAATTGGTGTATTTAAAAATGAACTTATTTTATTTTATATGTTTTATGTAATGGTTGGTGAAGAAAGTCAATTAAAAGCAGCAAAACAATTAATGGAAAAGAAATGGCGGTTTTCAAATAAATATAGTAAATGGGTAATTCAAACTCCAAATGGGTGGATGGAATTTGATAGTACAAAATGGACGATTGTTCCAGCATTATCATTTAATCCATCACAAGCAGATTTTATGACTCTTTAGAAATGTAATTTTTTTATTGAATTTTTTTTAATTAACAATTATTTCTTTGTTTTTTTTTTTTGTTTTTTGTTTTTGTAATTTTCAAATGAAAACCTTTTTCAGTTAAAAACGTTTTTCATTCGTTTTTATTCTATGACTATTAACCTTAATGATTTTCTTCATGATGGATTTCTTGATATTTCTCTTCTTCATATTTCTCAATTTCCATTAACTTCACAATATTGTATTGAAAATGAAGTTACAGGATTAAATGCTTCTTCAAATAATTTTATATTAATTAGAGATCTTAGAGAATATGTTATGTTAAAAGAAATTGATTTATCGTTTAATAAATTAAATACTATTCCTTTTGTTCCTCCGTCATTAAAAAAATTAAATATTAGAAATAATGAATTGTATCAATGTAATTCTTTTAGTACACTTACTGAACTTAATATTTCTCATAATAATATTGCTGCTATTCCACCAATGAATCATTTATTGAATTTAGATTGTTCATTTAATAGAATATTTTCATTTCCTCCTATTTTATCATTAACTTCTCTAAATATTATTTCAAATCAATTAACTTCATTAGATCTTTTTCATGAATCTTTAATAGAGTTAAAATGTTCAATGAATAAATTAACTAGTGTTATATTAGAATTAAATCATTTAACATTTTTAGATATTTCAATTAATCCATTACAACATTTAGATATAACAAAATGTAGTTCATTAAATACTTTATATTTAAATAATTGTAATTCAGAATTATTTCTTTCAAAATTACCATTATCATTAAAAGAATTATCATTACAATCTTGTGGATTAAATAAATTTCCTATTGATTTAACTCTTTTATCAAATTTAACTTCATTAAATCTTTCATCAAATGATTTGTTAGTATTACCACCAATTTATACAACATTACAATATCTTAAAACAATTGATATTTCGTTTGTTTTATTTGTTTTAAAAATATCTTTTGGGTATTTTTTTTATAATTAAAATAAGTTTTAATATTTTAGAATGAATTTATTAGAATGTTTTCCTGTATTTCATCCTTCTCTTGAACTTTTAAAAATTGGTGGAAATTATTATTTAGAAACAATTCATATTACTCCTCCATATCAAGTTTTAACTTTTCCTACATTAAGTCCAACACCAATTATTCAATATATTCATTTAGGATCATTTTTAAATGCACATAATGTAGATTATATTCACAATTATAATATTTCATCAATTTTATTAGTTGGAATTGAAATTCCTTCTTTATTTCAAGACCAATGTGATATTTTAAGATTAGACATTGTTTCAGAAGAAGGACATCAATTATATGACGCAATACCAAATGCAATTAAATTTATTATTCATTCTATTCAAAGAAAAGAAGGTGTTTTAATTATTTGTGGAACAGGAGTTAATAAAGCACCTGCAATTGTTATTGCCTTTTTAATGTATTATCAACGCTTATCTTTTATTAATGCGTTTAATAAAGTTCAAGGATTATATCCATTAATTGACATTGAATCAGGGTTTATTCGTCAATTAAAATTATTTGAAAAGAAACTTGAGAAAATGAATTCTAATTGCATTATTGTTTAAAGTAAAATCTAAAATTATTTTTCAGTTCAATAATAAAACATCAAAAATAAATACTTTTAAATAAAATTATTATTATTATTATTATAATTCCTTTTTAAAAAATTAAAAAAAAATGACAATGAATTAGAAAAAATAAATGTTTTAATAAAAATTGAATTAATATTTTACAGATTGATGAGTATTAATCTTTATTCAAACTACATTATTGGTATTAAGACTCTTTGTGGAATTGAATATGATCCAGATATACCAATTGATAGTTTTGTTTATTTAATTGAAGGTGATTTATTATTAAAATTACAAAAAAACAAAGAAGTAGTTTGGTAATAATTTAACTTATTAATCATTGAAACAAATTATAAAATTAATTACATAGAGTGAAGAAGTATTTGGTACTTTAAGTGGTCTTATTTCTAATCCAATCAATGCATCATTAATAACAAAAGAAATTATTAAATATATTATTAATCAATTAAAACATTGTTCTAGTGATCATACAGCATATTATATGATTGACATTATATCTAAAAGAATTGGGTTTTATTTGGATATGGAATTGGTCAAAGAATTTATGCAACTTTATTCATTACTTCCACTAACACAATCATCACAATTAACACAATCACTTGTTCATACTTTATCAAAGAAAAATATTCCAAGAATTTATTATTCATTTACAGGATTTGGTACTTCAATTAATTGTGTTCTTTCAATTAATGAGTGGCCAAAAGAAAGTTCAATTTATCATACAACATTTAGACCAACTAAATTTGTTGAAGGAAATACACCATTAATATTTTCTTTTTCTACTAATTCATATGAAATATCACTTTGTATTAATACACAAAATCATCATTTAATATTAAAAACAGATTGTTTAATGTCATCAGGGTATGAAAAGAAAATGATAATGAATAATAGAATGAGTATGACTAGAATTTATGATACTCAAATTCCTATTATGTTAAATGAATGGTATTCAATTTATTTATTACATAAAAATGATGGTTCATTTCAAATTCAATGTAATGGACATATTTTATCAAATTTAACTGTTTCTTATCCTAATTTTTTATCAAGTAATATTGTTTTACTTCAAATTGGTGGTGATTGTGATAAACCAGGTTTTTGTTTTGTAGGGGATATTACTGGATTTCAATGGTATTATAACTATGAATCAATTGAGTTAGCACAAAAATTTTTAACAAATAATATAATATTAAGAAATGATAAAAATACATTTCTTGCAGTACAAATATCACCATTAAAATCAATGATTATCGGAGATAAACCATTTTATAAAATTGTTACAACAGTTAAAAATCAATCAAATAAAACTAATATTGTTAATGTTTGTTCAAGTAAAATTAATTCATCATTTTCACCTATTTATTGTGGATCATTATTTAGAATTGATGATATAATTTTAAGAATTGGTGGTATTATTCCATTTTGTTCATTACTTCATTTTGGATTTAGTTATGAAAAATTTAATACTTCAAATATTCCTTCTATTTTACAATTACTATCAGCAATATTTAAACGGAATGAAATATTAAGAAGTCAATGTGAAGAAATTAATTTCTATAATATTATTCTACAATTTTTATTATCAAATGTTAATAAAGGAGATATTGGATGTGCAGTTGATTATCTTTCTATTTGTGTTAAATTATTTACATCTTCATCTGTTTCAATTACTATGAAAAAAAATATAGTTAGATATATTTTTGATATTGGATATTGGATTGGAAAGAACAAAGGGGTTAATTATCCTTATATTTTAAGAAAATTAATTCCACCAACTACATTTGTTACATTAGATTTATTTAAATATATAACTTATGAACAATTAATAATGTATATAATTGCTGATGAAGAAAAAATGGATATAATGCCAATTGATCAATGGCTTATTATTAAATATGAATTTATACAATATTGTACTGATATTATTATTCGTTGTAATATTACTAAATATGTTGAAAATATTATTTTTGTATTAACTACTACAAAAAGTAGTTCAATTATTATTTTATTATTATATTCAATAGTATGTATTATTTGTACTACAAATGAACCACCAGAATTATTAAAACACTGTGCATCTATTTTTATTACAATACTCAATACTAATAATCCACATATTTTTTGTAATACATTAAAAATATTATATTTGTTACTTGGAGAAACAACTGAAATATTAAATATAGTAAAAGAACGTTTTGAAAGAATTGATATGATAAAAGAAGTATATGATACGGTAATTCAATGTTGTAGTGAAACAATTACTTATAAATTAGATAATCCAATGAGATTAGAACAAATTAAATCAATTAAAAATCCAACTATTCTTATTAATTTTATTAATATCACATTTTTAAGAATTATAGAAAGTACATCGGAAGAAGAATTAACAACAATAATATTAAAAGATTATTCACAATGTAAAAGAAATCATTCAATTTTTTCAATTATTTCAATAAATGAAGAGTGGGAAAGTACTTTTTATTTATTATTAGATTTTCTTCATAAAAAGAAAGATGAAGAAAATATGAAACGATTAATGAAAATAATATCAAATATCATTTTAGAATCAGTTCATCAATGTCAAACTTCTTTCCTTACAAATTCAATAATGAAATTACTTAATCTTTTTAAAAATTGGAAGGATTTATATGAAATATTATTTGAATTTTTTAAAATATTTCTTACAACACAACCATTTATTTGTGAATATCAAAATGTATTAATTATTGAATGTGGAACATTTTTATCATTTATAACTTGTGGAATGTTTAACTACGGAAGAAATAAATCAACATTTCATTTTGATGAACAATTTAGTCTTATTTCTGAATTTATTAATCAAATTGATGTTGCTGATTATTTAAAACAAATGAATTATTCTTATTCATATTTTGAAGAGTTATATCCAATTTATTATTATTTTAATATCAATCTTATTATTTCTCAATTATGGGGATTGGCATATAAAAAATGTAATGATATTTCATTGTATTTGAAATTATTTGAAATGTTATGTGTTATTTTTCCTTGTTATCCACTCAAAAGAAATCATACATGTTATTTTAATTGGTTTTTATATACAACAACTCTTTTATTTAAACAATTAGAATTAAATCAAGAAGATATTAAAAAATTAGAAAATTATCAATTAAATTGTATTTATTCAATCCAACAATATAATAACCAATTATATAATAATATTTTAATTAAAAGAAAACAAATAATAGAAACTACGTCATATATTGATTTATCAATGAAAGACTCTATTGCAGAGTTTTATGATAGTTTAATGGAAGCATATCATTCAATTCAAACAACTATTCGAGTAGAACAAATTGTTTTTAATGATTATAATGTTGCACCATTAGTAAGACATAAATCTATTGGAATTACTAAAATACTTCCAAAACTTAATGATCGAATTTTATTTAATACAACAAAATATAAAAATGACATTATTGCATTTAGAGAAAAAGAATTAATACGATTTACATCTATTGAACAAAAATTTATAAACAATTCATTTCATCAAAATGAAGATAATGTTTCTTTTGATTTAAAAGGTTTTAATATTCCATCAAAACCTATTTTTAATGTAAAAAAGTATCATAGTAGAAATGTATTAAGTATTCAAGAAAGATTTATTATTGATCAAGATTCTTTTCATGATATTCAAGTACCATTTGATGCAGAAATAATAACACCTTGTTTATTAATTTGTATTGAACAATATTATTGTGGAGTGTTTTTCATAAAAGATAATAGTATTCATATTAAAATAAAAACACATTGGTATGAAAGACCATTTTCAAAAATAATACGAATTGTTCAAAGACATTTTAAAGATAGTGATAATGCTATTGAAATATTTTCTTTAAATAAAAAACCATTATTTATTATGTTTTTTGATCAACAAGATTATCAAACAATATTTACAAAATTAACATCATTACAATTAGAAATAAAAGGAAAATTTTCAGTAATACCAAATCTATCAAAATTATTTCTTTATTGTTCATATACCAAAGATTGGGTTGAAGGAAAAATAACAACATATGAATATTTATGTCAACTTAATTATTATTCTGGAAGATCACTTATAGATATTTCTCAATATTATATTTTTCCATGGATTACAACAACATTTGATAAACCATTTAATCAAATATACAATAATACAATGTATATAAGAAATTTTTCACATAGTAGATGTTATTTACAACAAGGATATTTTAATAAGAATGGTTTTAAATTTGGTCCATTACCTGCTACTGCAATACCATTATATTTAAATCAATTAGAACCCTATACAACATTGTATTCTCTTTTTGAATCTCATTTTCATTGCTCAAAAAATATATTTAGTGAAACGTTAATTTCAAATTTTAATTATTCTTCTATACCTTATCAAAAATTACAAAATATAACTCAAATTAATGCATTTGAATTTCCTTATGAATCTATTCCACAATTTTACTCTTGTTATTGGTTATTTACACCAAATGAACATGACTTTACTCGTATTAGTTTTCCTAAAGTATTTGCAAATAATTCAAAACAATTTATTTTATATCATAGAATGTTATTAGAATCACCAAGAGTATCTGAAGAAATACATAAATGGTTTGAAATGATTTTTGGAAAGAAAATGAATGAAAAAATTATTCCAGAAAATTGTAAAAAGAATTTTCAATCAAAATTTAAACAATTAATTGGTCAACAACCACAACTCTTATTTAAAACTCATCCAAAAAGAAAAAAATCATTTGATTATAGTGAACTTATTAAAGCTATGAATAATGAACAAAATAATTTATCAATTGATATATTTAAAGAGTTAAATCAACTTGAAACAAAATTTGAATTACTTCAAATGATGGATAATTATATTATTATTAAGAAATATGATGAAGTGTTTATATTAAATTTTGGACTAAAAAAAATAAAAAAAGTTAATTGGAATGGAATACAAAATAAAGAAATTAATATATTGATGTTTTATGATGGAGATGAAACAATTGGAACTATTTATTATTGTATTGGATATTCAACCATTACTATTATTTATAAAAACCAACAAAAAGATATTACAACTTTGACTGGAAGTATTACTTCTATTACATTAAAAGAAGTTAATAAATTTTGTATATTTGAATTAGAAATTGGAACTTATTGTGGAGAGTTAGAATGTTATAAAATTATAATAGATAAAGAAATTCATGAAATTCAAATTTTATTCTATAATAAAATTATTATTTCTTCAAATCCTTTAACTAATATTATATCATTACCACTTCTTGGTTATAGTATTATTCAATCAAAAGACTTATTTATATATTCTATTTTAAATGAAAAAATAATGTCTAAAATACATTGCAAACAAGAACCTCTCTTTGTTTGTGCTTCTTCAAATGGAAATATTTATTATACTCAAACTTTACAATCTTCAATTGAAATACATTGTATTGATATAAATGGATATGAAACAGGAATAATATTATTAGATGATAATATTATTTCTTTGAATTGTATTTGTTGTACTTTTGTTGATTTTATTCTTGTTAGTCTGAAAACAAAAGTTTTAATTTATTTTAACAATTATTATATTCCTCTGCTCATTCATACATTAGACTTTAATACATTACTTGAAAATTTTACTATTAAAAATGTAATTGTACAACCTTCTTCATTAACAACTTCTATCAAAGAGAATTGGATTTTTATTGTTCAAGGTCAAGAAAAAGATCATCAAATTTTACGCTCATTTGTTTTGAATGATGTAAAACTTATTTCACTTTAAATAACACATTTTTTTTTTGTCATTATTTCGATAAAAAATAATAATAAAAAACCTTAAAAAAAAATACTAAAAGAGATTAAATGTCAAAAACAGGTCGTTTTCAGGTAATAAAAGAAAATCCTCATGTTAAATCTTTATGTGAGCAAGAATGTATATTGATTGATGGAATATTTGGAATGTGTTTATGTTTTTCAAGTGAAGGAATTGATATTATTTCAACAGAAAAAAGAAAATTTGCTAAATTAACAAAGATAATTGATTCTCGATTACAATGTGTTGTTGAAAGAATTATTGATTTAGCAGAAGATTATTCAATTATTAATTCTTTTTTAAAAAGTAAACATGAAGGAGTAACACAACAAGCATTATGTGAAGGAATAGTTGAATTTAGAGAAGAATATGTGAATGATATTTGTTTTGTAGAAAAACAAGCAAGAAAAGAAATGTGGACAATTCAAGAAATTTGTTGTGAATTAAATAAGAAATTTGATACGCTAAAACCTATTAGAGAAATAATTGAAGTAGTTACAAAAGAAACTAAACCACAAAAAATTATTGAAGTTCTTTATAGTCAATTACGTCTTTTTGGAGGGATTGGTACTAGTGTTAAATTATTAAAAAAGTTAATAGAAAAAACTTGTGAACCATTAATGAATTTTATTTCACAATGGATGAGTTGTGGAGAATTATTATATAATGAATTTTTTATAAAAAAAGAAGGAGAAAAATATATATTTTATGAAGAAGAAGTTCCATGTTGTGTGCAACCTCATGGAAATGAAATTTATATAACTGGAAATTATGTTAATTCAATTAAAAGATATAGAATTCAACATGAAACTGAATTATTTCAACAAATGCTTTTACATCAAACGTCAGAAATAGAAGAAGAAAGTAAAGAAGAAATACCATCTATTCATTTAGAATCAATAACTTTATTTAATCCATTAAAATTTAAACAATTAATTACTAAACAAGCTGAACTAATTAATAAAATGCTCTTTGTTATATTTCAACATTGTCATATTGATGATACTTTTAATAAAATTAGAAAGACATATTTATTAGGTGAACCTTCATTTTATTATAATTTTTTTGATGTTTCACATGGAATATTATCAAATGCATATTCAGCAGATGAAGAATTACGTTCAACATATAAATTATTTGATTCATTATTATTTGAATTAAAATCAATTCATTTATCATCAAATTGTTTTAGTGTATCATTTCAAAAAGAATTTATTCAAAATTATTTAGAATTAACAACAACTGATAAACCATGTAATATGTTTCAAGCATTTTTAATACGACTTGTAATTCCTTTTCCATTATCTTTAATTGTAAATGATGAAGCAACTTTAAGGTATCAAGTTATATTTAAATTTTTATTTGATATTGAATATCATCGTTATTTATTATCTCGTGCATTTACAAAAATAATTTGTAAGTCAACAGAACTTGGAACAAATAGAAATTATAGTACATTAAGATTTTATCTTCAACAACTTCTTTTAATTTGTTCAAAAACATTAGAAGAAATAGTAATTTATTGTCAATGTGATGTTATTACAAAATTATGGAATAAATTTATTTCAACACCAAAATATTCTGTTAATGATTTAAAAGAATTACATTCTAAATTTTTAAATGATTGTTTAACTGGAATTGGATTAAATGAAACAGTATTATTTAATTCTTATAATAAATTATTAATTCATATTAGATATGTACTTCAAACAGTATATGCAGTAGAAAAAATGGCTAATAGTGGTGATGAAAAAATAAAAAAACAACCTGAAAAAAAGGATTACGAAATATTAGAATCTTTAAGTGAAGAAACTCGAATACAAATGGATGGAATTTGTTCTTTATTACCAAATACTTCTATTGAAAAACGAAATTGTTGTTTCAATAGATTAAACTTACAACCAAAACAAAATTTAAGTGAAGAAGATCCATTTGCTGATATTTTGAATAAAAAATAATTAATTATTTTTTATGAATTAAAATTTGAAATTGACCGTTTAAAGGCATTACAATAAAGAAGAAAAAAAAAACATTCTAAAGTAATATAGTCTTGTCAATCTAATTTTTCCTCTTTTAAATTGATATTGTACTTATTGTCTCCAAAGAATAATTCCATTAAATATAAGTTTATATCATCTTGTATTTACTATGTCTTCTGTAAAAAAATAAAGTTTTGTTTTTTTTTTAAGTTTTTATAATAAAAAGAATTGAATAACGAATTTCAATTAAGTTAATTTGCTCTTTCAACTTCTTGTAAATGTCTAAAACAATAATCATATATTAAAGTGAATAAAACATGATTTTTAATACTACATTCTGATTCTTCATTACATAAACATTGAATAATAAATTTAATTTCAGTAAGTGAGTAAGTTTTAACTATATTTATTAAAAGAGAATATAAAGGGGATGTATGAACACTTTCTTCAATAGTATAAAATGAATCTAAACAACTATAAACTTTAATGAAAACACGTGATTTGAATAATGCATTTGGTAATTTATTGGAAAGTTTAATGAAAAATTTTGATAATATTGAAAAATCTAATGATTTTTGTAAGTCAAAATGATGTTTTGTTTTAAACATTACTAATAAGTCAACAAGAAATAGTGCATTTTTAACATCTGAATCAAAGAGTAAATACAATGAATAGACAAAATTATAATAAATAGAAATATCAATATTCATACAATCTAAAATAAAATCAGACTGTTTAATTGATAAAAATAACTGTTTCATAACAGCATCATCAATAGAACATTTTAAAGAACTTAAATCAGTTAATAACCTTAATCCATTTCCAAACAATGTTTTAATTCCATGGACATGAGCTTTAGTTAATGTAAGTGTTGAATAAAATACAAATAATTGATAAAGGTAACGTTGATTAATTTCAATTGAACATAATTTTAAACAGTCAATAAAATATGAAGTATATTTTGATGAAGTGGAACGTGGATTAAAACAATATCTTTTTGTCATTATTACTTTATTATTAATTTCATTTTCAATTAATGACTCAGCTACAATTTGACAAGGATTTTCTAATAAATAATTTAATAATTGTTTTCTTTCTTCACAACATTCTTCATTTCTACGTTCATTTAAACTAAACATAATAATTTGAATAATAAATGAAACAGTTTCTTTTGTACAAATTTCTATATGTTGATATAATTCTAATAAAAATGAATAAAATATATTTTCATCAAATAAATATTGTTCTGTATAAATACTCTCTTGTTGTTCAAATTCATTGATTTCTTCATTTAAATCAATTGAAGAACTTTGTGTAGATTCTGAAATTGAAGAAGTTAAAGTTGATGATAAACAACTATTTCCATTTTTCTTTTCTCCATCTTTAATAATTTCAAATTTCGTTTCATATCCTTTTTTTGATTTTCCTCCTTTTTTATTCTTTTTTGAAGATTTTTGTTCTTTTTCAATTGGAACTGTTGTTGTTTTAATTGAAATTGATGGAATTTCTTCAAGAGGAGTAATTCTACGATAAAAAAGAAGATATCCTGACTTATTTTTTGTTCCAAACCATTCCATTTCTGCATACTCTCTTTTTACTTCAATAACTTGTTCATCATTACATAAAAACCATTTAGTTCCATCTTTAATATATGATGTGTAATGTCCTCCAGTACAGTTTCCTGAATGAACAATAACTCCAGCAAGACAATACTCTTCATCTTTAATTTTAGTAAATGTAAAAGGTCTTAAATTAATATAATCAGGAAATAGAAAACGAGAATTAATTTTTTCTTGTTGAAATGTTTGAAGGTTAAAATCAAATCTTTTTAATTGAAATATTAATGTATTTGGTAATTGATGAAGAAACATTTGCTTTTTAATATTAATTTGTTTATGACATTCTTCACATTTATATTGTTTATCTCCAATATATTCAGTACCTGTTAATATTTCTAATGACTCTTCTAAATTTTTTAATCCTTTAATTTCTAATGGTAACACTACATGTTCTTCAACTCTTTGTTGATTATGTGAACAATCACATGATCTTATTTCTGTTAATGCTTCAATCAAATATGATTTTTTTAATGCATTAATTCCAAGATTTCCTTTTAATTCATCACTTACTGAGTCAAGTATTTCCATTAACATTTCACATGCATCTCTTTGAACACCTGGTTTAATTATTCCATATTTTTTATTTCTCATTTCACTAACTTCGGTTCTTGGATCAATAACAATACTTGACCTCATTAATTTAATAAATAAATCTCTTAATGAACTTAAAAATGGTTGTTCAGGCTTAATTGAGTCTATGAGAAGCATTGAATTTCTAAAATAAATGTCTCCATATAATTGTTGTAGAATAGAGTTTAAATAACACGTACTACCAAGGTTTCTTATTCCAATGATATTTCCAATTTTTACTGTTTCAATATTATTATTCTTTCTACCACTTCTTTTTAATGATTTAGAAGATTCACTTTTACTTTTAGAGTTTCTGCTTTTACTTTCACAATAACTTTCATTAAAATTTAAACTTCCACTCCTTGAAATAGTAGGATATAAATCTGATCTACTAACTGATCTACTTGGTGTTGAACTTCCACTATTAGAAAATATTCCATAACTAAGTGGATTGTATGGAGTATAATTTAATGGTTCAATACAATTTTTAAATGTAATACTAAGAGATGTTATTACATTTGGATAAATTTGAATAATTTGAGTTAGTATATCAATAATTCGATACCTTAAACTGGTTTCTTTTGCTATTGGAAGTGTTAAATCATCAAAATCATATAACATTCTAATGAAATTGGAACATCCTTCAGTAAATGCTAATTTTAAATGTTCAGATAAATTTGTAATGTGATTTAAACAATACTCTATAAAGTCAACAATTAACTCTTCTCTTTTCATTAATTCTTCTTTAGTTAATGTATTTAATGAATTAAGTACATAAATTAATGATGGTAATAAATTAGTTTTTTTTGATATTGTTTGTAAATATTGTAATGACTCTTCAAAATAATTTGACATTAAAGAATGAGAAGGTATTGATTCAATAATTACTTGACTAATAATTGGCTTAAATTCATCAGGTAATGATTGTACAATTCCAGAACTGAATGGATTTCCAATAATATTAACTAATTGTCTTATTATTGATAGACAATGTTCAGGTTGTTGTTTTAATAAAAACACATATATTTGATAAGATTCATTAAATGTTAAATTGTTTATATTATTTGATGGTAATGAAATATTTAAATTATTAAATGGAAGTATATAAATTTGTTCTGTTAAATTTTCAAGTAATTCATCTGATTGTAAACAATTAGGTTCAATAGAAAGAGTTTCATTTTGAAGTACTTGATTTTCAAATTGAATTAAACATTTTAACAGTGGATGAAGTAAGGTTTTAGGTTCAGTTGATTTAATATGGAGAAGTAATTGTAATGTATATGGGTGATTAATTTCATTTAATTTTTGAATGAAATCTTCTGAAAATTTATAGGAAACTGGTGAAGAATATAAAGGATGACAATTAACTTCAAAATTTTTATAAAATGGAAGAAAAAATGAGTTTGGTGTTAATGGAAGTGATAAATTGACAGGCAACAATGATACTGGAGAAAATGGGTTTAATGGAATATCCCTTATTTTGAGAGTTGGATAATTTAACGAATAATTAACATTACAAATATAATCAGGAATAAACTATTTGTAAATATTTCTGATTATAAATGAATTGCATAAAAAGAAAAAAGCAAACAATTAACAACGGAAGCATTTTAATAAATACATCATTTGATATCATTGAATTTTTAATTATCCAATTTAACCAACGTTCAATTGAATGTTTTCCTCTAGAATCAAGAAATGAAATAATTTTTTTTATTCCAAATTGATGAATATTGACATTTTCATTACAAACACATTTAATATAAAACCCTCCTCCAATAAATAAAAATTCATATTTTTTTTTATTTTGAACAATTTTTTTTCTTGCAGATTTTGATAAAATAGTTTGGTTATTTACGTTTATTATTTTTTCGATTCTTGATGAAAATTGTTCACATTCTAAAAATGAATTTATTTTAAATATACATCCTTCACTTTTAGCTTGTTGGATTATTGATTGGTATTGTGGTGATTCAATAAAATTAGATTCTGTTATTCTATCTGATTATCTTCTTTCTTTTGTTATAACTTATTTGTACAATTAAACAAACTCATCATCAACAGTAACAATTAAATCTGACTTTGTTATAATAATATTATTCGGTAGTGTTTCTTTCTCTGTCATTCTAAATTGAAAAGTCTGTTTTGTTTTTGAGAGTTTGAAGTATGTCTTTTATTTTTTATATTTTTGTTTTTATGAAAAATGAAAAACAAAAATTAAAATAAAAAGCAATTAATTAAGTAGTAATAGAACTAGCTTCTATTGTTCCAGCATCAGGAAAGACTAATCACATCAATTCTTCTAGCAGCTCTATGGAGTATGTTT